AGAGATGGGATCAATAAGTTAAGGTGAAAAAATCCTTCAAGAGGCGGAACATAACAATCTTCCACTAGGTAGAGAAAGTATACCTCATTGTGAAAGATAAACCTTTGTGTGTTACATCCTATGAGAGGGTGAGAACTTTTGTGTATCCTTTCTCTTAGAAAAGTTTAAGTGTGTATCTCTTCCAAGAAAGAAACTAAAAGCGTTCCATCTTTTTTAGGGTGAAGAAATTGTGTAACTCTCTAGTGAATCACTAAGGAAGAACTATTATAATCATATTATTCCGAAAAATTTTCTAGTCTAGATCATGTGACTTTTACTCTTTATTAGCGGAGGTTTTCTATGTTAAAAATTATTATACGTCTTCTTTGATTTTACTTCAATTCTAAAACATAAAGACACTATTTTCCCCAATAGTTATTGAATTCTCCATATATTTAAAGTGTCCAAATCGATTTAATTAATTGGCTAAATTATAAGTTACCCTCGTGTATTTTAGTTGTGTTTCAAAATACTCTCCTATACTTTCAATTAAAACAATTTACGTACTTGTACTTTTGAAAATCATCAATTAACCATGTCTATTAAAATTACATCCCATTATATTAATGTATCACGTGAGTAAAACTTTTACATAGTAAAAGTTTTTCTTCCCTCCAAAGCCAAAACGAGAAAAACAAATTTTATCCCTATTATTTTCTTCATCTTTGACTTCAAATGGGAAAGTTCACATCGCAAAGCATTATTGCGACAATCATAAAAGAACAATTATGCTTAGAGGAATAAAACACCAAAAGAAAAATAAAGAAAAGAATGGCATGCGCTGAAGCTCAAGTATTTAATAACAATACGAGATGTATAACAATGGCAGATGATTTAATCAAGTGCGACTTCTTTGAATTTGAGGATGCAATCCAATGCTTTCTTGAAATCATTTTCTTCAAGTGCAATATTGAACCGCCAGTATCCAAGAATTCCAGTAAAGGATCCACTATTGATGCATAAACCTGTGGCTTTGAGAATGGCATTCCTAATATTAGAGTCGTCTAGCGTGATTTCCTGAATGTCATTTCCTTGGTTGCCTTCACCTTTTGGTGAAATCTTTAGCCTAATAGTCTTGTTAAGATAGGCAGAGGACATGGCCACAACAGAAACACCAGCACACTATTCAATCACGTCCCACCCACTTTTCTCAAGTATCTAGGCTAGTAACCCCGAAAAAACAAAAAAAGTTTAGCATTCTTTTAATAAAAAAGAAAAAGAAAAAGAAGAATTACAACCTGTTGAGATATATAAAACCATTAATGTAACCTAACCCAAGAAGTTAAACTTTTGGGTTGAATTAGTTCTTTACATGGTATCAGAGCCTCCTCGGTGTACCGGGTTCGATCCTCACCGCCTCCCACTTTCTTTCTAATGGAATTTCTTTCTTCGCACGGGTAGGTGGACCTGTGCATTGTCCACCCTTCAAGCCCAGTGGGCTCTCGTGTGAGGGAGCGTGTTGAGATATATAAAATATTAATGTAATCTCACCCAATAACTTAAGTTTTTGGGTTGAATTGGTTCTTTACACAACTATAAAAACAAACCAATTAAAATCAAATTCAAACATAAATGTTTAGTGTAACACCCTGTGTATACCCGGTTTGTTATCATGTCATCGTATTAAGTGTTGCTTAATTAAAATGCGGAATTAACTTTTTCTTTTCAATTATGACGTCATTATTAATTACCAAGTTGATTACTTAATCCTTATTCAAAACATTGTCTGTATGTAATCGCAAATAGACAGCTAACTACACTGAATAACCTCGTAATATAAATATGTGTGAATCTAAATCACGAATCTACAACACGTAGCCCGGACCATATCCTGATACAATTATACAACTCAATTGTAAAATAAGACATAGTCAATCAATGTGGCATGGACAACCCTCCATGCTCACCAAATAAGGCAACAAAGTCCAACAGAGTCTCAACAACAAAAAACATAATAATAAATATAGAACATGTCAAGCATATCACATCAGCTCCGGCCTCCTACCGCCTGAAGTCTCAACCCCCGAGTTACCTGAACCTGAAAATGTGCCCCAAACGTAGGGTGAGATCTCTAAACAGAAATCTCAATAACACAAGGGGTCCTTAAGGATCTCTCCACCCCAAGCTCACTTACACGTGCAATATAAGTTCAAAAGCAGTAATATAATATAAGTTCCAAAATCAGTGCAATGCAGTAGATAATCATGTCATGTGTGTCAAATATCCTACTGGCCAGAGAAATGCAGGGTTTACATACGTCTATTACCTACAATCAGTGCAAGACACCACTTGCACCCACCCACAGAATCACCATATCGTATGACGTCAAATACTCAGGCTTACCGTCTAATTGGAACAACACATGCATATCATAAGGCACTTGCACATAATAGCTCAACAACATTTCAAATATTCAAACATGAAAACACATCATGCATATAAACCATTCCCTCATGGGGTATGGTGGAACCAACAATGGCTAAACCGAGGACACGAAAGCTTACCTCGCAAGCTAACTATCCAATCAAGAGTCCAACCAAGTCCAAGGTCCACAAACAACACTCTCACAGTCTGCTTATACCAACAATCATATCAACATTCACAATCTAAAAGTGTATGACATAAAGACAACGTTTTTCTTTTACGTTTCACGCCATTAGGTTTCTCACAAAGCCATAAGCCCTTAATCCCTTTGATTCTGACTTAGTTAGTTATCAAAGAGATTCAACTCAACCAATCTAGGGTCCATAAACCCCAAATATAGTTCTGTATGAACAGAACAGTCACTGTCTCGAAATTTCCAGAATATCCGGATATTTGTCGGGGCCATATCCGGATATCAATATCCGGATATTTCGCGACAGAATGCAGTTTCTGCATTTTGCGAGATATCACTCCCAAGGTTCCATTTTTAACACATTAGAACGTTAAAGCATGTATCTTTAAACCCCTTTAGGTCAGTGATGGTGTGGGTTACCTATTCAACTCATTTTACATGCCAAGACTTCACTTTTAACCATTAAAACTCGTGATCAAGGTAAGGGACATACCCAAGGCTCTCAAAACAGAGCTATAATTGCTCTTAGAGCTCTCTATGCAACTCCCAAGGTTCTGACTTCAAGATGCACAAAAATGGTACACCAAGGAGGGTTCTTTCTCTTCAAAGATCACTCCTTGAAGCTCAAAATACCAAGAGAATGGCTCTCACACCACTCAACTCAGAGGTAGCACCTTAAACCTCCACAAACAGCACCTACATCTCAGCAAATGCTGACCGTCATCCTCACAAATCACTCTACTAAGTGTTTACAAAGATCAAGAGGGAAGAATCAAAGAAAAGGATGAGTCTTGCTTGAGTTTTTGCTCATGTCATTTTGCCATCAGCGTCACTACAGTGGTTTTCTTCAACAGTCTTCTGCTAAGTTGATTCCAAAACAATCATCCTCATTTTGGTAGAAGTCTTCCGCTGAAGAAGAGATAGATGGAGATGAAGAACCTGTCTTCTGTTTAGAGCTTTCAGCTTCATCTTGTTGGAGTAATTGAAGAATACCTTGCAGATTCTTTGCAAAATTTTCTTTGCTGGTTGATGCTGCTAATGCTGCCGTGATTTGAGCCAGGTTATGGTGGGACTGTTATACGAAAAAATACTAGATAAAAATATATTATCACAATACTTCAAAGCATTGGAATTTAGTACGATAAAAATCTCCAACTAATTTTTTTTTTTTAACAATTATGGTGTTTCAAAATTTCAATCTGATTTGTTAAATAAAAATAATTTTATTAGAGCTAATTGCAAATCTAATGTGTTACGTTTTTCCTAAGGTGATGTTATACTCTCAGACTATAATATAAGAAGTTCTCGTGCTGACAATCTATAGTCCACTTTACTTATCACTTTTAAAGCATTTTACTGCAGAAAATTAGAGAGACCAAACCACCACAACAGACTCCAAAACAATTGTTATGTTACCCAAAAAGACAAATCCTATTAAGGCTACAAAAGGTTATAAAAGAATAAATTGACTTGTGAAAAATATAACTTGACCAGATCCAACACCTTGAACGAAATTCAATATGGATGGTACTAGACCAAGTCAAAGTCAAACCACCTTAATAGCTTCGAGTCTGTGACCAGAAACTCAAACTCATTCATCTGTTTAGTCTAACACTGCGTAGTTGCAGTATTATTTGTACATCTAAATATAAAATACCGAAACAACGGAACAAAGGTCTAAATAAGACAACGAAATTAGTGTATTTTTTGTTATATTTTCAATTGGGATTTTTCATTTTCTTCATAGTGTATTGGAATAAATTGGCTTAACATACTAAGATTTCAGTTATATTGATTAAGGGTGTGAAAAAAACTAAATGAAATGGACAGATGTCCATCACATCAAAAGAATAACATTTTTTCGAATCAACCACTTTTTTCGAATAAGTTTACAAAACTCGTTCGGTTCTCAAATCAAACCATTATCAATTCTGTTCGATTTCGACGAAAGACTGAACCGAACAGAACCATATTCATTTGTGGAGAATAAAAAACAATTCAAATAAACCAAATTAAACTGTAAACTAAACCGAATTGTATTATATTTTCTGATTCAATTTTTGGAACCGAACCATTTTCTCCTAATTATTTTTAAAAATCAGTTCAATTTACTCGAACCGAACCACTTCTCCAATTTAAATTTAAGGTCCAAATGCTACTGCAAAATCTTAATTAGAGCATATTCTCTCAACCCAAATCGTAGGTCTAGAACAGAAGAAAATACTTGCTTATTGCTAATGCCATTCAGAATTAAGTCTATATGAAACTGAAAATTTACCAACAAAAAATAAAAAAAAAAAGAACTTAAAAAAAGGCTGTACAATATGAAATTTGATTAACCTTGATGAAATATTAAACAATCCTAGAAGCCAAAAGCTTCACAAGAGTTTACGCCAACCTCCTCTTACCAAATACATTGGCAATTCCTGAACACATCACAGAAGCTGCAATTGCAACGACCAGAACCACGTAATTTAGAGTCATGTTTGCAAGTATAGGAGCCCCGTAAGGAAAGTGTATCTAATACATACTCATGAACAAAATCAGCTGATGCAGCAAATCATTGAGAAAATTGATTATACAATAAGCGACATCACAAGACCAGAATAAAAAGGAAGAAAATGAAACAGCTTAGACCACAAAGGTCCACTTCAAATGTGCTGTGTACATTTTATGTTTTTCATAGATACATAATGTTTTCATGTTCTTCAATTCAAATCACTAGCCTTAGCCTTCACCCTCTTTTTTCTTCTTGGTTTTTCATTATTTTTCAGTTCTCTATGGAAGCAAAATCAAGCTACAATCTCAACTTGTAATGTTGAGCATCAAAAACATAAAATGATGATTTTACTCTCTACCAATAGAGTCAAGCCCCTCTGTTCTTCCACGCACAATTCTATGAAACACTTCTCTCACTTGGCGTTCCAAAGGGTCCAATCCATCTTTCAAGGCTTCACAAACATGTGAAACCTCTTTCACTCTCTGCCTAACCTCCTCTCCTTTCTCATCACTCAATGGAAACTGCACTGAATCAGCCAACTCATTCATCACCCTAGCACATTTCTCAATCTGATGAATCTCTTTCATCAAACCACAAGAATTCTTCCTCTCCCTTTTCTTGGACTCCTCCATGATCCGCTCATGGAGTGAGATCACCGGAACAGCCCACGAAAACTGCCGCGGAATCGAAAAATGGAGGTGTAATCCGCGGTCCTGGCAAGGAATTGCAGCCACAAGAGCCCACATCACAAACAAAAGAATCGAATTCATTGTATAAACAGGCAATGCTATGCCATTTGAGGCCACAAGATCGTTAGCCTTAGGAGTACACAAGTTGTTCCCAATTGCTTGTAGTTGCCTTGTAGCAGACCAATTTCTTGAGACACTCCAAGAAAGTGATCGAAAATGACCCAATGATCCACGTTGATGGTTGTTATGGTGTTGATCCCTGCTAGCAGTGTTTCTACCAAACGACCTGTTTCTATGTGGTACAGAAGAACTTGAATCCTTATCATCAAGCATGGAAATGGCCAAATCAACAAGTGCTTTCTTGGCACGACGAAATTGACCTTCACCAATGCTCCTATTGTGATCCAAAGCACATAAAACAATCTCCAACAGCTTCTCCCATTGCCTAATCTGTTCAATCCCATCACGGATTGCGTTGCACACATCAAGTGCCTTCACACTACGCTCAAAAAAATCACCCACCATGCGATCCAAAGGGTGTTTCAAAACCTGTTCCTTGTGGTTGTGGAGAATCATTCTGAATCCCTCTTGACAACAGAGGAACGAATCAAGGAGCTTCCTAACCCATGAGAGTGAAAGCAAATCATCATTTTCAACTGAAGATAGCTCCAGGAACCGGTCAGCGACCAGTTTCTGAAACGAATCAAGCTCTTGCTCCAAGCTTGAACCTTCCATGGAGTGAACCTGAGTGCCACGTAGATTCAGAACAGAACCTTGATATTCCGTGGTAGCGGGCATTCTCACACAGACCCAGTTGCCAAAATCCAAAATTGAATCAAAAAAATTAATTTTTCTCTCAAATTTGAAAACCCAGAAGGATTTCACAGACCCATTTCCCAGAACGTGGAATTGAACTCTCTCCTGGAACCGAAAATTCTACTCAAAATTGGAATTTTCAGCACTTCAAAAATTGGCAAAACCCACAAATGAAAACCTAAATTGGGTTCCAAGCCACGAAGGAATTGGGTAATGGATTGAGAATCTAGCAAAAAGGTGGAAACTTGAGCGAGAAATCAAACGAGGTAATGAGAGAAAAGAGGAAATGCGGTGAGTGAGGTTGGGAACCCTAAAGGGATGGTGTGAGGAGTTATATTGGGGAAAATTTGACCGCGTTCTTTGGTTGTTGGAAAATGAAAAAGGAAAAAAAAGCTAAAAACACGAAGCAACTATATTATTTAGGCTTTTTGACCCTTATGCCCCTTAATTAATAATTAATTATCAAATTGCCCCTCATTCAAAACTATTTCGAAAATTTACCCTTCCTAACAAACATAACACCAATCTACCCCTGTTTGACCGTTGACCGCGAAGCCTACCCGGGTACACCATTACCTACCCGGGTAAATTTTGAAACTTTTTATCTACCCGAGTATGTAGGGGTGTACCCGGGTAGAGTTCTTGAATCTGGGAAAATGTTTGAATTATTTACCCGGGTACGGAGCAGTGTACCCGGGTAAACATCGACGGTAGGGTTTTAAAATACCCCAGCAGCCCCATTTCGAAAACCCACAAAAGGGGTACCCGAGTAGAGCTGCTGGAGGAGTGTCATCTTGAGCGATTTCAGGCAGAATCTTGCACTAATTGAACATCAATTACCAAGATGCTAACAAAATGGATTGAACAGCACCTGCTGCTGCATCTGCAACTGGTCTACCCGGGTAACTCGTAACGATATACCCGAGTACATACTACCCGGGTAGACTATTCGTGGTACCCGGGTAGACCAGTTGCAGATGCTGTTGCAGATGCTGTTTTGGCAATTTTTGTTGCATTTTGGTAATTGTTGTGCAATACCTACATACGGTATGACTTGGGGGTGGATTGACAATATTAATGCAAGGTCCCATACTAATGCATAGAACCAACAAGTCTGAACGTGCACAAAACGAAAATTTCATTCATTCAAATTTTGAATATCCAGTACAAAAACATCCATGCAATGTAGGTAAAGTTCCTAAATGTACCAAAATGACTACATTACATCAAACTAAATCAATGATATGAAACCCTATGGACACACTAATCCGATGCCGTGTCCTCCCCATTCTCTTCATCCGATTGTGTGTCATCCCCATTGTCATCATCCTCCTCCTCCTCCTCCTCCTGAGTATGGGCACCCTCGCCAATTAAACCCTCCAATCGTGAAACCCTTGTGTCCAACCGTGCAACCCTTGTGTCCATCTGGTTTCGCCACTTGCTCGTGCTCTGTCTATATCCTCTAAAGTCAGTAGTCAGATCATATAAGGATGCCATGACATGATCAAGTGTCCATCCACCCTCAGGAGGAGCTGGTGGTCGCCGACTGCGGGTGGGACGTGTCGGTCTGACATCAACCTCAGCAACGCCATCATCATCGTCATCATCATCAAGGCCTACATCATAAACCATGAAAAACAAACTTCAATACCACATTAAAAATTAAACAACACAAAATTGCATAAACTCATAAAGACCAACACATCACCTGCAGGTGCATCCTCCATCTCAGCATCGTGGTGGAATGGGATCTCAGGTGGTTCTGGTGCCTTCTTCCACGTCCAGATACCCGCTCTGTTCGGTAGGATCCCACACTGCTTCAGGAGCCTCTCACCAAATATAGCATTCCAGCCTCTGGCGGTCTTCAAGGTCTCTGTTGCCATAGGCACTCCAAATCTATGCAGAATAATATGTGTCACCACATAATGAAGAATGCGAGCAGAAACTGACAAGTTGCTAACAGGATAATGAGCAAAATGACCGGGCTCAGCGTCTGCCCTCCTAGTCTCTGTAACAATGGTCTCCCGGTTATAATCACCAAATATATGATGGCTGTCTCCATCATATAGTGCTGCTCCTGTGACACCATCAAAATCGAACCCCAGTAGCTCCGTCCAGATAGGAGCAGTCATGATGATATCAATCCCGCAGACACGGGAAGTCAGCTCGCCTTGCGAGTAGCCAAGGTTCTGGTAGAAGGCTCTTACCATAACCTCCGAGTATGGGCACCGCATCTCCGCCAGGTGAAGTAAATGTGTCTGCTCAAGAAGCGGCACGATGTCAAAACGCTCTAGGTTGAAGAATGCCGAATCCAGTGATTTCGGTTCGCAGATCTTCCGGGTCATGAAAAACTTCACGAACTTCTCGTGTGAAGGAATGTCATCCTCAAACAAATATCCGAACGTCAAGTCCGGAGCCTGACTCGAAGCAGCCTGGGGCTGAGAGGATGACGACCCATCGTGACGACTCTTGGTTCTTCTCTCGGAATGGGTCACTGGCAGCTTTGAAACGCGTCGAGAGGTCATTGTGTCACACTATTAAACTGAAAAAATAACCAAAATCAGAAATTAGATACATGTTAGGGTTAGGTTTAGGGTTAGGGTTAGGGTTAGGGTTAGATTCAGGGTTAGGGTTAGGGTTAGACAAATTGATAAAATAATTCGGACAGAATCAAATGATATAAACGAAAATACAATGAATCAGAACAGAAATCATAACATAATTGAAAAAACTGAAAAAAAAATTCACCTTTGATCGATTTCAATCGGTAGAAGGCAGAGAGGTTGCAAGGTCCGCGAATGATGATCACAAACAAGACGAATTAGTGCAAGATTCTGCCTGAAATCGCTCAAGATGACACTCCTCCAGCAGCTCTACTCGGGTACCCCTTTTGTGGGTTTTCGAAATGGGGCTGCTGGGGTATTTTAAAACCCTACCGTCGATGTTTACCCGGGTACACTGCTCCGTACCCGGGTAAATAATTCAAACATTTTCCCAGATTCAAGAACTCTACCCGGGTACACCCCTACATACTCGGGTAGATAAAAAGTTTCAAAATTTACCCGGGTAGGTAATGGTGTACCCGGGTAGGCTTCGCGGTCAACGGTCAAACAGGGGCAGATTGGTGTTATGTTTGTTGGGAAGGGTAAATTTTCGAAATAGTTTTGAATGAGGGGCAATTTGGTAATTAATTATTAATTAAGGGGCATAAGGGTCAAAAAGCCATATTATTTATGAATTTGTTGTTTGTCATTTTAAATGACATAAGTTATGTTATTTTAGGAGAGATAGACACAGAAAAATAAATTATAGGAGTGTGAAAGTGAGTGGTTTTTTAATGTAAAATTAAATTTTCTGTGTCTGTATCTCTCTTAAAATGACAACTTTTTTTTATTTAAAATGACTTTTCTTATTTCCACACTTGAAAGTAAACAATATATTAACTTTAATCCTTGGTGATTAGCGAAAATTAAAACACGCATCACACACGTTTCGGACACGGTGGCAATAGGAAGAACCTAGATTCTGACAGATTCATTGGATCAACATCGTCCAAGGTGTGTGTGAGCAAACACTTTTAATGTATAAAAAATATTTTAAAATGTATGATGCACTTTAAATAATAAAATTTTATGTTAATCATCATTAATTAAAAATTTGATGGTTAAAATTCTGATAATATATACAAAACTCTAGATAATATACTATGAAAACTCCGTTAATATTTTTTTTAAGTAATTATTGCTTTGATTTTACTCACTAAAATATACTAAATTTTAAGGATTCAAAATCTACATGTCCTACGGATACAAACGTGAGATAACGACCCTCTTTACTAAAGTGGAAGATTATATTGATCAATTTTTGTTTGTTAACAATTTACAAATTACATTAATTGTCATATATTCTTGATTGAAATCTGACTAGTCATATTTAGTATAGTTTGTAAATTTGTAAGAAATTGTTTTTGTCAATATAACCTCTCATTTTACTAAATATCAAATATGTATTATATTATTTACTGTTATTTTAATTTTAGTCATAAAAACCATTTTTAAATATAAATCATTTTATACTATAAATAATATAATAATAATTCACATATTGATTCAACTTTTTAAAAAAAAATCAGATAATATTCTTGTTCATTAACTCACCGTTAACAATATATCATTATCTACGTTCTCCTTTTTTATATTAGTAGTTGAGATTTTTTTAATTGTCTTTTCTATATTGGAATATTATTGCAGAAGTAGAAAAAAAGAAAAAGAAAAGTATCAGTTAAATTAATATACTCTTTAATAAAAAATAATATTTTATAAGAAATTATAAATAAAATAAAATATATGCTAATAATATTAAGATAAATAACAGAATATAAAAGTCCCCTACTGATATTGTGAGAATCTGATTTAGGGGTGAAATGTGAGCCGTTGATTTTGGCACAGTGGCTGTCGCATCTGATGGAGGCAATATGGGAGTGACGGGGATGCGTGTTAAGCAGTTGGGGAACTTTGATGCGTGGCTCACCACGTGGACCAAAGCCCTTATTTGATGCGGAATGGCCTTATTTGGTTAAATGTCACAGTCTCTTGGAAATGGTATGACTCTGACCCTGAGATTAGGGAGCATTCATATTTTTTTATTTTTTTATTGAAAAAAATATTATGTTTACAGTTTTCATGTAAATATATATATATATATATATATATATATATATATATATATATATATATTGAGTTTGTTTTCTCTGCAGTTACTGCAAACAAGTTATCTTCAGTAAGTCCAATATGACGTCTTTTTGGAGCAGAAATTATGGAATTTTTGTAATTTTAATTTATTTCAGAGTCATAATAGTCTTTATATTTATAATTTTTTAAGATTCCAATACTAAAACGACGTCGTTTTGGGAATAAATGTAGATAATTTATCTGCAGAAACATTTTTACTATATTTTTTTCTAGAGATAAGTTATTCTATCTATCATTTTTTATTCCTATATTTACCTACCATTTTCTAATACCGTTAATTTAGAATATTAAAAGGACAGAAAAATATTGAATGTTAATTGAGATTCTAATATAATAATTTGAACATAAGTAAATAGAATAGGAATGAAAAAAATTAGGCACAACATCATATTCAATTTTTATTTATGATGCTATTTATTTACTTTTAGGAATAAATAAGTTTTTCGAATGTTCTCACTACTCAAACAAAAAAATAAAATTTATTAACCTCGAATCAAGTATAATACATATTTTAAATTAAATCGTATGGTTTATTT